TTAACCTCAGTGGGGTCGTTTGCCAGCAGGATCATCGATACCGCTGTTTGTTAGTGTTCCTGGCTGTTGTAACGACAGTCGTTATGGTCGTTTGGACTACCCCAGGCCAAGACTGAACGACCATCGTTGGTATCTTCACCTGAGGCCAATAGGTTACGTTTGTTGCAGGACTTAGGCATTGGAAGTTGGGATAAGTCTTCTAGTATCTTCAACCAAGTCCAGTTGCCCTTGACTTTAACCTTCTTTGGATAACTATGACCTGGATGACTTCACAGACATCTTGAAGCAGGCCTTTTCGCTTGGACAGGCTGTGCACACTATTTATTTAAACCCCTATGATCATTATTAATGTGGGCATGATGACCAGCAGAACAGGAATAACCTAAGTAGTTAATGGTATTGCAGACATTGGAATGAGAAAAGCATATTCAGATATATAAGATTTATATTGATTCATGACCCTGCACTGTATTTTTTTTTAATATACATTCTTGACCAAACTATCCTGATGATAAACGGGCTTTGGTAAGACTGAAATCTTGGGATAAGAAAGATGGAGAGAGAATTTTTAGTATTAAGTCATCCATACAACAATGTGGCATAAACAAGCTGCATATGAACATTGTTTCTGTACACACAGGCTTTGATTAAGAAAGATCGGTTCAGGATGCAACCGCTGTGGCATCGATGGATGTCTCACCTGAAATGGTGTTTCAACAGCCACTCACCCACGTTAGTTTCACTTGTTTTGTGATGAGAGAGAGAGGCAGCAGCAGCAGCAGCAGAGATGCAGCCCGTCACCAGGATGACCGCAGCCACCGCAGCAAAGGGAGGAAGGGAATGAGAAAGGGAGGGCAGAGGATGAGGAGCAGGGAGGTTTTTGAGCATTCAGCACTGCCTAAAACCATAACTTATGTCCTATGCATAAAAGAAAGGGAGAAAGAGAGAAGGTAACAGAGACAACAGAAAATATAAGAGGAATTTTCTCTGTGTTCGGGATCTCCTCTGGAAAAGCACAGCAGGTAAGATAGAAAGAGGAGGACAAGGACTGTTTGTAACATGATACATGCGCCCTGAGGGAGGCGTGAGTATTACTGTTGCATCTCAAACTCCTCCAACTTAGACTCTCTTCTTCTTCCTTCATCCTGCATACTGACATCGTTAGAGCTGTTAGATCACTCAGGTGATTTACAATGTGTGAATGTGTGCACCTGTTGCATATGTGTGTGTGTGTGTGCAGTAAGGCAAGCGTACTGCATCTGTTTGAAATGGCACTTCAGCACGCATGACTGTAATACTGCAGGGTGATTGAGCAAGTTTTCATCATATTGTTAGTCCAGCTGTCTCAAAATTGTTAACCTTCTATTTTTAAGATAGATGACTGTAGCGTGAAAAAGAACATAAGTGCATTTAAGTTCATGAACACAATAAAAAGACGTTTCCTCTTAATGCAAATTCAAGCGTCTAAAACAATAGTAAAGTTTATCTATTAGTTCCCAGAATGGGTCTTGCAGAATAACCTTATTAATTTATGTATTTGTTAAATATTTTTATAATATATTTAATTTATGATTGCACAATTGTGTCCAGTATGATGATCAGTTTTTATCACATTTGACCCAGGTGGGAATTAAATCCATAACGCTGTCGTATTTAATTCCGAGCTCTACATACACAGAATTACATACACAGAATCTACTCTACACAAAATTAAATCATTGTTCTGGATGTTGTTAAAATACTGTGTGTGCAGTACACACATATAGACACAAAGTGGCAGTATCATTGTTTATGGATTCATAGATGCACCAACACCTAGCTGTAAAAACTGCAGTTTAAGGGACACGTCACACTCACACAGCATCGTATAAACTTACTAAGGAGAGCTGCAGAACTGCTACATTGTGCTTTGCTCATTTAAACTGCTGACCTGTGTGTTCATCTCTGTCGAGTAGAGAGAGAGCGAGACAGAGAGAGAGAGAAAGTCTGTATTTAAATGTTCAGAGGATTGAGTGCAATTCCCCCGTGAAGCTGGGAAACTCTAAATATGGTTGGCTGCACGAGTAACCATATGGGGCTTGACTGTCTGCCAAATGCAGCTTACATGACACACAGACTCACAGAGACCTGATATCAGATGTCTGACAGTATCTCAGTTTAAAGAAAGAGTTTAAAAAATGTCACATAATAATGTAACGAATTCTATTTATTTTTGTTTTTTTAAACGTAAATACGTAACATTACCATTTTTAAAAGGATCCCTTGAATGAAAGAATCTTATAGAATTTCGACAAAGATATGTACTGAGTGGAACATTTTACAGTTTTTCAGTGCTCTCTAGGGGACAAACTATGTAATGACACTAATCTTGGCATTTCGGTACTGCACTTTCTTGTTCAGCTGACATATACACCATACTAATATACAGTATATGTGATAAAGGGATATCAGCCAACATATCGGTGAGGTTCTGATAAAAGGCAAATGTGCTGGTGTGTCATAAGTTTGTGTTTTCAAGCTTTGTGTAGAAGCCACTGACACCGATTTATTAGCGCTCATTAAAAGGTGTGGCCTAGCAAAATGTGATAACAGGTTTATTCCTGCACGCACACCCATCATCCCCTTCACCTGCTCAGTCATCATCATCCAGCTCAACACCATGACTGCCCACAAACCCAAACTGATTGGCAGTGTTGTGAATACTGGCTGTGTGCGAGTGTGTGTGTGTGTGTGTGTGTGTAGCATAGACTGTATATAAAAAGTGTGTGTAGACATGACTATCATCATGGCCAATTTGAAATAAATAAATAAATCCATGTGAGCCTGAGGAGAGAAGAACACAATCTTCTGTACAAGTCAAGGTGACCTGCTGCTGGTGAGAGAAATGGGAGTTGAGGATTATGTCAGCACACACAGATCCCTGTTTCTCATTTCACCCGCCATCAATTATAAATACCACTGCTGAGTTAAATTGAAGGCTGCTATCGTAACTGTAATTTACTGTTTTATCCACATATTCAAATCATATCATTGCCACCCCCTAGGTCGCATTTCACTTCTACCAATCCAGGCAGAATTTCTGCCTCCATCCTTTGTCTCTGTCTGCTCTGCCTCACTCACTTTCTTGCAGCCTATTATACCTCTCCAAATTTACTTTGCCACCCACCCTGACATCACTCCCTCCTTTTCCACCTCTTCTTCAATTCACTTTCCCTCCCTCCTTTGGTTAGCCTCATTCAGAATAAGGCTTTTGTGATTGGCCAGTATTTATATCAACTAGGTCCCAGTGCCACCTGGGACAATGGTCTCTAGTCAGATCCAGGTCACAGCAGGCAGAACCATTCTTCGGCTCTGCACGGATCAGTCCGGTCCGGTCCAGTCCATCTGCCATACAAGCCAGCCTCCCAGACAGACCTAGCTACTGCACCGACTAACCCACCGGCATCACACACAGGTAGGCACACACACATACATCAGCAGGTGCTGCATCACTGCTCTCATTTGCCTCTCTCTCTCTCTCTCTCACACACACACGTGTAGATAGTGGGAGAACTGGCTTACTGCACAAACCTGCATCATGCACACAGGTGAATATTCACCCAACGCTTACCTCTGAGCCCAGAAGAATCTCTGTGTCGAGTTGCAAAGCAGATGACAACAGTGACGCTGAAAGACAGGTAAAGGTAAGTGGATGTAGCAGTAACCTTCATGTTTGATAGTAGTGTAAGATACAACTAGATTATATGTAGCCTACAGTATATGATGCCAAAATATAAATAGCTGGCCATTATATGGACATGCAACAAAAAGGAAAAACTTACACAGACTGAAGTAGGCAGTGACCACCAACATGTTTAGACTTCTACTGCAGGCAAATAAATTAGAGGGCACCGATGTAACAATTGGCCCTAACTTGCCCTAGTGCTGGTACCCACATCACCATCAGTGTTTCACAGTTACTAGAGTAGTTTACACAGGATTACCGGGGGATAATCCATTTACAGTATTTAGAGACATGAGTCGCCATCTGTCTGTATTTATCACAGCGAGGGACGCGTCGGCACCGGCTGACTGCAAACAAACAGCACTTCTACGGTAAGACGAAGCTGCAGAGTAAGAACATACATAGTTACCACTATAGTATACTCGCTAATGATTCAGTTTGGTTTAGTTGGTCGGTTTTCACTCAGAGCGACCCAACGTTGTTCGCGACCTTTAAACTGCGCGCGCACTCCAGCCAGGTTGGTGAGATTTGATGCCTTCAAATGCAGCCGCAAACCCCTGTCCCAGACATTACGCACTTCGTGTGGCAGTTTTATTCACCCGTTAGCATCAAGGCTAATGGCACACATTTTATTATTTTAGAGCCCATGAAACACAGGGCTAACTTAACATTTATGGTGTGCTGTAAGGGTACAGTGGAGAGAAGACAAAACGCACCAGCCATCACATTTGACGTTAGGTTATAGTTAACATAGCAAGTTGAATAAACGGAAATATACAATGATCCAAATACCAGCTTCGGTTATTTATGTGATGCTTCGAGCAAAGGAATTAAGAACAAAAATGCTAATTCAAAATGACTATTATTAAATGGTAAAACATATTTACCTCGTCCGTATGCCCCATATCGTTCATTTTCAGACAGTACGCGAAAGCAGCGCTTGTCCAGGTGACTTTTATTGCTGCAGCGAACAAGTTCACAACTAGCTGTGCAACAAAACTGCCAGATGGCTACGTTTTGTATTTTTGATGGTGCTGCCAAACGCTAATCTTACAATATCGCAGTGAGTGTGAGTACTGTGGAAATTGTTTGGGGTTTTTTTTGGCATTCTAGCTCTGGTAGCTACAAGTCATGAATATGCAACTTGATAATTTGTCTCTGCCTCGATGACCGGCTGGATAGTACCAGTTCACCTCAATGAATGTGTTGTACCTTTTGTTAAACCACTCTTCCAGGGAGCTGTTGCTGTGTCGATGGTGAATTAATATCCGAAGACCTGATGACAATGAAGTTTCCAGACCAAGAGCCTGCTTTTGTCACGTGCTGTAATTAAACCAATGCAGTAACCTCTTAAAACACCAGCTCTATTATCCAGCATTTTCCTGCCTTATTGCTACCATTCCACTGTACCAGCAGATCCTCTGTTATCTACCTGCTCAACACTTTCCCGGGCCCGTTGACTAGCTGTAAAAAGCTTTGTCTCTGCTCCTCCAGTTTTTTCTCACTTCACAAAACCTCCATTCCCAAATGATGAGGACGGACAGCAAAGGCCGAAGTGCCTCCCCTCACAGGATAACCTATAAGTCTGACTTCCACGCCATCAAATGTTCATTTGACACTGGGACCAGCCTACAACCAGGTACCAAAGCCGCTGACCAGCCCTCTGCTGTGCACCCAACCAGGCTGCCATACAGCCTGTCAGATCCCATAATGTCCAACACCAGCACAGGCAGCAGAGGGAGGATCCACAGCACCAGGGGGACCAAGATTAGAGACAACATCTTCCTGCAAATGGACAGCCAGCAGCTGAAACAAGATGGTGGTCCGGTGCTGAGTCCTGGCCCTATACCCCTCCTTTCTCCCCACAATCCTAGCCTACAGCTACAAACCTCACCTTTCTCTGGATCCAGACGTTCAGTTGTCAGCTCCTCGTCTGTTCTGAGCACTGTGGCCAACATTTCTGCTACAGAGTCTTCTCTGCAAGAGAAACCATCCAGATCAGAGGAGATATCGGATATTGACAGAGCTGCTCTGGCTCAGAAGTTCTCTGTAACTCGGAGGTTGTTTGAGACCAAGGTGATGGAGGTTGAAGGTGGTGGAGGGCAGGTTTCAAAAGATTTTACAGGCAGGGGAAGCAAGGGGATAGCAGGAGGAGAAGAAGATAGGAGAGGAGTCAACCAGGTGGAAAAAGAGGAAGAGGCAAGTGGGAAAATGAATCACACAGAGGAGGATAGCTTTGATAAAGACAAATTCACAAACCCCCACATTATAAATATTTCCTCACCAAAGCCTCCTGCACAGGCCTCAGTGACCGGGCATCCTAAATCTCCTGTATCGGATGGCCCCACTGAAGCATCCAGCAAATCTCCCTCCTATCTTGACACACACGGTAAAACCACAGGATCACAAACGGAGGATGCAAGGACAGAAAGTGCAACTCTTGACATCTGCTTGACCCCTGAGGAACCAGTGAGGGCAGAACTAGTTGACATAAAGAACGAGTCATCAGAAAGTGATGAGAATGAAGAAGAAAAGGAACGGAAAGAAGCTAACAACTGGCTTAAGGATGAGCGGGAAAAATATATGAAGAAAGATCTAGGAGAAAGTGTGCAGAACTTAGTGGATGATGTTTTTGAGCCCAGCATGGAAACACCAGGACCTTATAAACTGGAAAACAGAGTGGAACTAAGAGACAAGTACTGGCAGGTGAATGAACAATGGGAGGGGCAGAACAGACAGTTCACTGCACAGGCTGAGAAGTCAACAGGAAAGGGGGATGGCAGGGAGAAAAAGACAGATGCAGGAGTGGAAGAAAGTGTTGGAAGGAAAGAGAGGGGCATGATACAAGAGGAGGGGATCCACATGGAAGTTGAGCCGTACAGTGTGGGAAAGAGGAGGGAAAGAACTGAAAAAGAAGGGACAAGTGAGAGAGATGACAGTACAACATCTGAGCTGCAAGAGGAGCATGTCAATCTGGAGGTCACTTATGAGGAGTGCAGTGATGGAAAAGATCATGTTGGAGGAGGCAAAGAGGACCAGACAGGATCTGTAGTTTCCTGTGGGGTTGAGAACAAGGCTTTTGTGTATGAGCAGGAATCTCAGTCTCATCCAGAGCATTCGCCATCACCATGTCAAGAGGGGGAAAATCAGCTTTTACTGGAATATGAGGAAATTCCGGGTGTGCCTGAAGTGGCCTATCCTGATGGTGAGGAAGCAGCAGAAGTTGCAAAGAGAAGGGTCAGATTCTCCTCAGCACCAATCAAGGTAAGGACGCCTTTTAAGAAAAATAATCAGCATTTCATTTTTCATGATTCACTTTATTAACAGCCGCAGGGACACTTGTCTTTAAATTCATGCCTTTACGGGAGCTCTTTATGGTAGATTTGTGTGACTGTCAGCTCCAGCTGGCATTTGAATCCAGTGTAAGAAAAGCGTTAGCCCAAAGCAATGTTTCTAATCCATTCGAGGAGGAGGAAAGGCGAGATCCCACATGCTTTATTCTGTCAGCACTCGGCTCAGAGTTGCCTTCATATAAAAGCAGAGAAAACTATCCTGTGGGTGTGTAGAGTATTAATCTGGCTCAATTCATGACAAACTATTGTAGTAGCGGTCAGTGTAGTATCAGTAATTGACACATGGAAGTTGTGTGTGTGTGTGTGTGTGTGTGTGTGTGTGTGTGTACTGAGATTTTCTGCAATCCTATGATTAGTTTGCTAAAGTCTCTGCACTTCCTGGATCTCTCGCTCTCTCTCTGACTCACACTCCGACTGATTTGCCAACATAAACAGTGTCTTGTTGTGTCAATAGCTGCGGATGGTTCTCTTTACAGCCTGCCCTATGGTGAACACATGTACTAGCTTTCAATGCATAAAACAGTCGAATGCTGTGTTTCAGGTGTTCAGCACTTACTCTAACGCAGAGTATGACAGGCACAATGAGGATATTGACCCAGTGGCCGCCTCAGCTGAGTTTGAGCTGGAGAAGAGAGTGGACAGGATGGATGTCTTTCCGGTGGAGATAGAAAAGGGTGCGTATCCACATCAGAAACTAAATAATCCCGGCATGTAATGGGTGAAAAAAAAGAATTATCATGATATTACAACCTTCCTTTCTTATTTCAAGTACCAGGTTTTTTCTGTGAGGTCTTTTCCCTCTTTTCATTAAATAACTTCAGCTTCCTTACAGTGCTTTTCCTCTGACTTATGTTGTTAATTTGGGGATAAATCTGTGTGTATGTATGTATGTGTAAATGTAAAAATGTTCCTTGTTAGGAGACGAGGGTCTGGGCATCAGTATCATAGGAATGGGTGTAGGAGCTGACCAAGGACTGGAGAAACTGGGAATATTCGTCAAGTCGGTCACTGAAGGAGGAGCAACACAGAAGGATGGAAGGTGCAGGAACATCAGTCTCTTGTTTGCAGGGGATTCAGCGTGGCTTTAATAACAAGAGACTGTGTGTTTGTTAGGATTCAGGTGAATGACCAGATAGTGAACGTGGATGGGGTGAGTTTGGTCGGAGTCTCCCAGTTGTTTGCAGCAACAGTCCTCAAAAATACATCAGGCCTCGTCAAGTAAGTTATCATGTTTGTTTTGACAGATCGTCTCATCTGCTGTTGTCTTTCCCACTATTTGTATACACGGATGCTACTTTGGGAGAGTGGTGGAATATAAATTCTTCCCCGATTTGGAGGCCTGGTATTTGATCTATCAGTTAAAAAAAACTGTCAGACTTCTAAATGTTTGTTAAAGAATTTATTTAAAGTCAGTTGTAGCAAGATAAATATAAATGTTCTCCCCCAGATGTTTTTAAAAAGGACCGGTCCTTCAAAATAAGATCTGGGACTTTTTGGCCTATCAGTTGCACATTATTTCCTAAGCATTTTAAGAGTTTTGATTGTCTGCCAACCTTTCAGATACTAACGAAAAAACTCTCCATTAGTGGCACGTTCAGGAATGCTTCAAAACCTGAGCGTTTAGATTCAAAAGCCAGCCAGCAAACCTTTTTAATTGCAGAAATGTACACAAACATTTCCTCTCAATGACATCCATGAGTTTTGTTTTTGTTTTTTCAAAATAGGTTTTCCAACAACTAAAATTGTGAATGGGATGCTTTTTAGCAACACCACCAAAATATCATGGGGGATTGTCTGTAAACACACCAGCATTGATGATCAACAACATGATGATGGCCATTTTTCACATTAGCTATTTTGTCAACCACAGGCGTAAATAATAAAAATTAGTGATGGCTGAATTTCATTTAGCTGCTTCAGATTCAGGGTCCCGGTTTTGTGCATGGTGGCTCACCGTCACAACTCTACTAGTTAGTGTCATTAGAAACACCTGTGCTATACCTACAATGGCAAGTCAATATGCCTGTTGTGAAAAAGGTCCACAACACAATCTGTGTTACGTGATGGAATGATTGCTCACAGCTTTGATTGATTTCTCTCTGCGGCTGCAGGTTTTTGATTGGCCGAGAGAAGGAAGGGGTGGAGAGTGAGGTGGCAAGGCTGATCAACGAAAGTCTGGAAATGGATAAAACACCCAGAAAGGTGTGTTTCCTGAAAGAGGAGTGGAGTTTGAGTCGTGTTAAATATCCCACATCTTTTGATTGTACTGTTTTCCACGTGTGTTTTTATATATGAAGAGGGGAAGAGAAGATGAGGATGTCAATGGTAGCATGTCGGAGAGGGGCTCAGTGGACGAGGAAGAGGAGGAAGGTGAAGAGGAGGATGCATCTGTTCTTCACAGTCTGGACAACAACCAGCTCTGCCAAAAATACCAGCAGGTACTTTACATTTAACATGAATTAATTAAACAACCACAAACCAGGTGTTTACAGTGAAGGAGACACCAAACCTTCTGTTGGATATAAGGTCAGTACTATATTAAAATAGGACATTGCCTCTGAAAAAAACACGATTACTAGAGTATGTGTATTTCATATAAATTGTAATATACCCAACAGACCCATGTTTATTTGGTTTTCCACCCTTTCTGCCTTTTTATAGCTTCAGTCAAAACTACGTAGCAGAGCAGCCCAACTTCACCACACTACAGAAAAGGTAGGTCACTCAGCTGAGATTGAGATCTCACACATGTGCACCAATAACTGTACTCTCTTTTAATAAACTACCTTTGCATCCACATTTGGAACAGTCTGACCCATTTAACTGTGTATGAGATGGCACAATGTGGACTTACTAGGACACGGGCTGAATTCCAACACTTGTCCGCATCAGCCCTGCTTTTCTGCCTTTGCCTTGAAGTAATCACCGCTGCGACATAACTGGGTTGGCGAAAGCGTTTCAGTAGAAAATCTGGCTTTCTTCTATCCAACTGTGTTAGATTAGTGAATACTTCATTTGTTGTATCAAAACTCTGAAGTGAGACGATTGAAGATGTATCCAGTTTCTCCAGGTCTAAGAATAGTTTTTGACATGGGATGTAACAACAAAAGGGCCTTTATTTTATTATTTTTTCTTTCTTTAGAAGCCCTTTCTCTCCCCTTGTGCATATGACATTCATGGCAGACACGCATTCATAACAAACACAATCTATTCTTTTGACTGTCTGCTAAGTTAAAGGCATGGGAGGAGCAGAAGGCCCACTGGGAGATTCAAAGGGCTGAGTTGGAGCAAAGGGCGGAGGATGCAGAGGAGAAAGCGGACAAAGTAGAGAAGTACGATACTACAAACTCTGTGCTCTGTCTGTTTGTGACCATTTTTCTATAGCATATCGCATAAGTATATTTGCCATGGCAGACTTGCATAATAAATGAGGGCACCTAGCGTAAAGATGAGGTATGGCCTAAAGCTTGTAAAAATGATGATCATGTTACACATTATAAAGATGACAGTTAAGAGGGTGTTTAGGTCCCTTGCACCTCTCACTCAATTTATCAGGTATTGGCAAGAGGCCCAGACACTGTGCAGGGTTGTGAGCCAGCGACTTGCCGATGCCCAGAGCCAATCAGAAAGCTTGGAGATCAAATACAGCAAGGCCAAGAGACTGGTCAGAGAATACCAGAGCAGGTATTTGTCTAATCCACCCAATCCAGTTATTTCTGACAATGTGGAGTACAATACTGAATTCTGGGGGAGGGGGGATGCAATCTAGTAAAACTGTGAGTCATTTTTCCCGTGTAAAAGAGAGGAGGAGAGGGAGCGCAGAGAAGCAGATTTGAGGAGAGAAATGGAGGAGCGAGATGAGCTGCACAGAGAGATGGTTGAAAGACTGCAAATCCAGGTGAGAGGAGACTTCTCAATCCTGTATGGATTTACTTTACTGAGCCTGCCATTTCTCTGTAGCCATTGTTTAACACCATTTATCACAGATAGCACAGCTGGAGAGGAAAGAGCCAGAAAGAAAGAACCACTCTGTGGACTCTTCAGTCACAGGTAAGCCACTAAATTTCTAAAGGTCTCTTTGACTTTGTGTAGCTGCTGGCAAGTAAAGTTAACTTTAAGGTTTTGATGTCAAAGTATTTTTCAAAAGATTCAGAACAAGAATAACTTAAAGCTTTTGTGTTAACAATTTAATTCCACTGGGGGGGGGGGGGTAAATTTCAAAACCTCTTGAGAAAACTGGGGTTTTTTTGACTGCGCAATTGGCTCTTCGTCTCCAGATTGGTTTATTCCAGTTCCTGACACAGGACGTCTAGACTCCAGCGCTCACATAGCCAGAGCTCAGTTGGCCCAGAAAGCCAAGCGTCACCCGCCCTCTCGAGACAAACTTAGAGAGAGCTTTAGAAAACAGGTAAGAGAAGGGGCTGCAAAATGTGACAGACTGCCAGTGAATGAGCTGTTCCCAACTGTAAAACCTCCACAAACTCCCTCTGTTGCTTTGTAGGAAGAGGAGGTTCAGAAACACCAGGAGAGCAAATCACTGTCTACTCCCACAGTGGTACAAAGGAGCAGCAGAAGTGACTTGTCCAGTACCTCGTCTGTCTCGACCCTCAGTCCTCAGCCTCCTGCCGGCTCAGTCTTCACCCCTCCAATCTACATCAATGACACGGTCACTCCGATACAATGCAAATCCTCCTCATCCAGAAAGTCCAAAAGGAAATTTCCCGACTTCAGGTGCAGGGGTCTCTGTCTCTTACTTAGATTTGGGATAAGATCATAAAATTTGTCTCATCGTTCTGTGTGTAAAAGACATAATAATTTAGAGTTCCTTTTAGCCATTACAAATGTCTGGTTATTAGATGGTTGAGTAGAGACACTGATGGGCCATTTTGCTGGTATACTTTTTCATTATGCTCGTTTCTTTTCAGTGACCTTCGCAAGTCGCTCAGCAAAAGGAGAAGTGAGAAACAGCGCAAAAGGTCCTTGAACAACAGGTGAAATTACATGTATAAGAAAATTTTGTAAATCAATACAAAAATAAACTACCCTTAAATTCTGTGATTTTCACTTGCGCAGTACTGTTTCTTACAGTATTCAAACACATTAAAAACCTTTCCATCACCTGTTGTATGCACACTTAATTTAGCATGGGAGGGGGGGACAGTAAATGTCAGATACTTGATACATAAACATATTAAAAAATATTCTAAAAATTTATTTTTTGGGTGTACATTAAAGGCTGATGGAAACTTTGTTTTTAAACATACCTTTTAGTTTTAGTGACGTGTTTGTGCTTCCACTACAAGCATTCATGTCCTGCTGCCACTCACCTTTTTTACATCCTTTCACTTCAACCAGGAAGCCCAAAAAAGAGATGGCATTTCCATTTTGAGTCCCCGTTGCATGTCTATCACCAGAGCAACTGATGTGTTTGTGTTTTGGTTTTTTTAAACACCTGCTAAGAACACCTATGTGGGAAATAAAAACAAGACATGATTATCCAATCTTGTCTTTTTGATATTAGTAATGTGGGACATCAATAAGAAATGTGCATGTGCAACATTGATTGAAATAACTTTTTCTACCAGGGGGTCGTGTGGTGACCTGCTGGATGACCCCGCTGCCGTTTCTCCATCAGACTCGGTCACCTCCATGCCTTCTTGCCTGCCCTTTCCCTGGTTTGGAGAGCAAGGAAGAACAAAAGAGGAGATTGAGAGGGGGAGGGAGAGACTTCGTTCTGTGTCCAGCAACAGCTTACCGTACTTGACCACCACAGGTCGACGAGATGAGGTAAAAGATGGACTGAAGTGTGTGTGTGTGTGTGTGTGTGTGTGTGTGTGCATGTACTAAAATTAGCAGCCTTCTCTGCATACCATCCGCCTCTGTCTGAGCTTTCTGATCCTTTTTAAAAACATGCATGGGTTTGCATGCCACAGATGTTGAAGCACAGTATGTAGGCAGCCTATAGGTCTTTTTCCTCTTGGTTGCAGAGTATTGGCTCTCCAGTGCGCAGCTCCAGCATGGTGGGTCATGTCTCTAATCTCTCCCTCTCTGGACACTCTCACACTTTCACCTTTTCCTCCACTGAGGTGAGTGTGCCCCCCCCCCCCAAGGAGTATTCTTTAAGCCAACTCTAGTCTTTAATTACAGTTTCATTTCTTTCCTTCTCTCAACGTTACTGTCTGCTTCCTGTCTCTGGTGTCCTGTCAGACGTTGGACGATGACCCAGTTCCCACCAATAATAACCAGTGGCAAATTCAACCCGTCTCGGAGTGGAACAACCAACAGGTGTGTTTGTGGCTAAGTGCTATGAACATGGACCAGTATGTGTCTGAGTTCACTGCCAGAGGTGTCGATGGGACACAACTGCTCAACATGGATAGTGAGAAACTCAAGGTGAGCAGCTAGGATTTTGGGGGGGGGGGGAACCACATAATTTATCACCTGTGGTAGGCACAGGTGCACAGATTCTGTTTTTTATATATTCATGGACGGATCTCGTACACACTTTGTCATATTAACCGGATAACTGTATTCTTATAAACGCGTTTTTGAAGTTACAATATCCGTATCCTCAAGACCTAAATAGCTGTTTAAGTCACTGGGGCTGAACACTTTTTTTTTTTTTTTTTTTTTCTTTCTTTTTTTGGTATATGCTGATAGGGATATATTGGCTGAACCCTTTTTAACATAAGGATATAATACATGCATAAGAATCCCCTAAAACTGTTTATTGGACCATGTGTGCTGACATTTCAGTTTGAAAGACTTTTGTCAGTGCCCTCTAGTGAACACAAACTCTAACTTCCACACTGTCTAAATTACCTCAATCATATTTTTGCAATTTCTTGTTGCCTATCAGTCCACAAACTATATAGTGATACTATAACAGACGTGTGAACTCGAGTCACAAAAATTGACTTTAGCCTGGACTTGACAAAATCAAAGACTTGACTTGAACAGCAATGACTCATGACTTCACTTGGACTTGAGCCTTTTGACTCGAGCTTACTTGACACTCCCCATGCACGAATATAAATGATATATAAAAATTTAAAAAAATAAACTGCGCAGCGCATCAACATAGCGCGGTGCTCAATTAGACTGGATCGTGTGGCTTCCTCCAGCAAGACGGAACAATCACCGACCGTCCGAAGCGCGCCCGGCCGCTCCGCGATCTCCTGTTCCTGGCCCTGTACGCCCCAGCGTCCGCGACTCTCCCTCCGGGGACCTACAATGGGTTGTGTAGTAGGCCTACTACCGGCGCGCTGTAAACGGTTTGCGATCGTTCCCTCTGGCTGGATGAATTTTACGCATAGGCAGGGCCACGCAACTTTCTAAATTCCTCTACCTCACGGAGAAAAAAAGTCAGGTCGAAACAGTGTAGCGAGACTGCCGCAGCTGTTGCGTGAAGCTGCTTCCACCAATTATCAAAACAAGTTAATTAAGATAAAACGATAATTGCGCCGGGTGCCGTTTCACAACTACACTCGTTTTTGTTTTATAAATCCAGCGCACCCCTTTCCTTTACAGCTGAGGCTCTCGTCCCTCCCTAAAAAGGTGTGTTCAGTGTTTCTTTACCTGATCGGTTTCCACTGTGTCTGCGTCTTCTAACGTCATAGCGATTTAGTTTTCTCACCGTTGGTTTGTCACTGCATCTGCCGACAAAACACCACGGTTGTATTTCAGCGTTCTGTAACTAACTAACTTCGTCAACTCGAGTAGTTCACCTTCACTGCTCCCCTACGTCCGCACCCCCCCCCCCCCCCCCCAGTTGTCATCATCTTGTGCTATAGATGCTGATTAAAGTTAATGTTGGATTATTGTTTCTTATTTCATGGGCTATATGGGATTTTGGAGTAATGCATATATAGTAGCCTAGTTTATTACATTTCAATAGTTTGTTTCCTAAGGCAATGAGTAATCCTGTTAAATGTGATCTCGATATTGACAAAAAATTAGCAGCCCTACATGAACATTTAATTTTCATGAAATTTGTTGTATGAAACTGCATTTCTGCCTTCTTTCTGTACAGGCTTATGCTTCATTAAACATTGTTTTATTAACTTAATTATTTTAACTTTTTTAAAACTGTTTTTTAAATTTGAAGAGCGCGTTTAAGACTTGAACTTGCTGTACCTTGACTTGAGACTTGACTCTGACTTGAAAAACGATGACTTGGTCCCACCTCTGCTATTTAACAAAACAAAGGACATGCTGATATATATTGGCGAGGCTCCACTGATAAGAACTACTATAATGAGACTGCCTCTGTCCACTTTTATTAGACTTAAACCACTTGTGAATATTTAGCGAAATTCTAAGTTTGGAATCTGGTTTTGTTGGGTCATTAACCTGACCGGAATCCAATTTATCTCCTTTTTACATTTGCACACATCTTCCATATGTGTCTCTTTCTCCCCTCTGTCGTCAGGCTCTGGGGGTGTGTGGTCATAGTGACCGGTCTGCCCTCAAGAAGAAGCTGAAGGAGATGAGAAAAACTGAAGATAAGGGACAGAGGAAAGAAGAGAAGAGGCTGAAAGAGAAGGGGAAGAATGTGGTTTTGGACAAGGAGAGTGCAATGTCTGTAAAAGACAACCGATGCAGTGGAAAAACTGTAAGAACGGAGTCCCTCTTATAAAGGTGATATCAGAGATACACCACCAGCATGAGGGTGTGTTTGCATTCCAACACAAATACACTTGAAGGTTTTTTTTTTTTGTGTTATTGCTGCACACGCCTTCTATTGTTCACATCTGAATAGTTATCATTTAGGATACAGAACTGGTTGTCATTCATAGGAACCTCTCCGCAGAGGCTGACTCCACCACCAAGTTCACTCGCAACAAATGCGTGTCTCAATGTTGGTTGTAAAGTTCGTGCTTGCTACTGTTTTTACAGTAATGTTTTTTTATCATTAAATTATTGTTAGAATGGTTTTAATATTTAATGATGTGCTGATTTAAGCACTGAGGTATTGCTGTAAATGTTATGTATGAATAAATAATTTAAATTTCTTCCTGATGCCTTAAACTCATTCATCTTTTTTGTCCTTGAATAAATGCACACAACACTTGGATATGACTTTGTTTTTTTTTTTTTATTATTCAAGAAACTTTGTTCTAACTATTTTACTGCCAGTGAATAAAAGGAGAATTCTGGAGAGGCTTGGTAGCATATTTACAAACCCAGTGCTCGACAAATGTGGATGAGTTGTTGTTCCTCCATAATGTAAAACCTGAGGTACCTTGAGCACAAAAAAATGCTGAACTGTTAAGAAAATGTAGTGTCTTTTTTCTTTATTTTTTTTTTTGAAATGCACTCTTAAATTGGGGAAATAAACATTGTAGTTTTTATAAAAGGTCATCTGTGTATGCATTGTATGACTCTTTGGCCTGTAAGGCATGTAACAAAGTACTCCTCGCAAAGAATAAATACAAACAGTTCTGCAAAACATTCAAATGTACAAAAAACCTCCCCTCTCTCCTCTGTCAACATAGTAAATGTACAAAACTCAGGACATCTCCCACACACTCCTTCCAGTGATTCATACATACTTTATCCAAGATCAATTCAGCCTCTGAAGCAGAATGTTCAAGTATTTAGTCCTACAAAAGTTTTTTTCTTTCTGTTTTTCATTTTCTGATGTTTCTCTATTTACAGTACATTAGGGAGTTTCAGTAAGCAACAGGAATCTTTGTGGGGTCTGATCTCATTGGCTGTTAAGAATAATGTTCCTTGTCATGCCAGGTTGTCATCCAGGGCTTCTTTTCCATGTTTTCCCAGTTACCATTTCCAGGGTTTACTGCTCTCTCGTCCCGTTTGATCCGAATAGCATTGTAACTGGGAACCTTGTCTTCATATTTGGCACGCTTAAAAAAGCCACACTGCAGAGAAGAAAGGGAAAACGTGATGAATATTTTGTTTGGGAAAAGGCTATTTAAAGCCATTCAGAGAAAGCAAAGGAGGTTGAGACATTTAGTGTCATCAACCTGTTTGACAGGCAAGAGACGAGATGCAGTGGGTCCATTAAGAGGTGTAGATGAGCCAGCTGCACTCCTTGAAGAAAGTAAACGTGTTATTGTAGAGAGAAAGAAACCTTGGTGTTGTGCAATAACAACAAAAGAAATTGGAAATCAAGGAAGAGTGAATCAAAGATATGCAGAACAGCCCCCGTGGTGTAGTTCCTCAGAGCATTAAATAACAGTCATTGCTAATTAGCCATCACCTCCCCTGGCCATGCAGGTAAACCTTAATGATCCACACATAACCATGTGTGAAACTCTTATAAAGTCTTTGCAGAAACAATGAGTCAGCTTTTATAGTTGCATTCGTGTCACAGTGTGAGAATTGCCCACTGCCTGCCAAACACCAGAAAGCAGCACTTTTGTAGCAAAAAGGAGCGAGAAGAAGTTTCACTCATTTGTGGCAGGCCGGGTCATTTTACCCTCTCTTTTTATGCATTTGGTGTCAGTCTTTCTTTTTCTGACGGGTTCTGTTTATTCTTTTTCCCAAAGACGCCACACTGAGGAGAGGAAAACGGTTAGAAAATGTGAGTAATCACTGTTACTTATACCCACAGCTGTTCTGTAAATGGTGCTTTACAGACTTTACATGCTTTCTCAGTTGAAATCATGAAAATGTAAGTGTACTATGTGTTTTTATTAGCTAGGGATTAGGGTGGCCATCGGTCCTACCTTCCAGAGAAGGAAAGCCAACAGGCCCAACAAAAGCAGGCCGAGCAAGATGGACAGCACGATGATCCACCATGGCACTCCTCCATAATGGGCTTCACGCCTCTCTGGGAACACTGTTAGTCTCACCTGGGGAACACAGTCTAATTCAGACCTCCGGATCAGAGTGTCAACTACACTTTAATAAATGTCTTTTTATTCTTCCTATTTATATTGTACACAAGCTCAGGTTTTTGATGTTCATGCACAACACTGATTTCAGCAACTGCCCTGTCATGCAATAAAGTAATAATGTCCAGTACTGTTGCAAATAGTAAATCATTTTTGTTTTCGGTGTTTAGTTACCTGTGTTTTACCGTTTTGCAGCACTGTCTTCGTTATTGTGCTATCAACATGCAGAGTGGCCGTCACTGTCACCTCCACATGATGGAGATTGGGAAAATCCTGTTTAAAGGAAAAAAGGAAAATGTCAAGTTTAAATGGTGCAATCAAGCAAGACACTGAAATAACCAGATTAATTTGTTGCAATAATGTGAATAATTCAAGTCATATTACTAAATTACTTGTGTTTTTGTGTTTCGTTTAGTAAGTCACAAACACCTTGTTTGGTTTCCCTTTGCAAACCTGAGACTACTAAAAAAACAATTTAATTAGACATCCACGTTTGAATGAATCAAAATTTTATTTTATATTTATATTTTAATTACAGCCTGTCAAAACTTTGCTTTTCCTTCTCAGGCCAGTGAAGCTGATTCTCAAATAGCCACTCCCATAGAGTTGCTACCCATCTCAAATATGACATAATAGTCGAGTAAAGACATCGTGGATACCTTTATGAAGGTGGAGTTCCAGAGGCGGGAGTGGAGAGTGATGACTGCATTACTGTCCAGGCCCCGCAGGGGGCACCTTATGCTCACACAGTTTGCCCCATTATCACAGGACTGTCAACACAGAAGGCAGCACAAAGTTACTACTCATTTGCCATACTTCTTGCTACAAATGCACACACATAATAATATAAAACAAAATAGTGTGGTGTTACCAGAGTTTTAGATTTCTCCCTCTCAATTAAACGTGAAATAGTGCCCTGGACACCTCCCTGGGTGTTTTCTGCTGCTCTTCTTCTCCTCGTGTTACTTGGTTTCTTAAAGCAGGGAAGAAAAAGTACATTGAACTATAACAAATTTAACTTCTTTATTTGTCTAAATACATATAAATCTATAAATGTAAAATTGTCTACTTCTTTCCACCACAAAACTGCTAATTGAAAACGTATACGTGCAGGCAGAGTGACCACCACTCCTTAATGCATACTTGTCAACATGGGATGTGAAAATAAGTGAAACTTTCAGGCAACCTGCCCCAGGCCGTCTCACCACCCCTACCACTGTCCACATATCACTTACATTTTGACAAGGGTACACATAATGAATCCTAAAATCACCACAAGGCAAGCACTTGTTTTAAAATCAGTGCAACAAAAACTGGGTCAACTAATTAAAAAAAAGTAAATTAGGTGGTCAGAATTCGATACAAACAACAGAACACAAAAGGACATCAATCATCCTTGAATCCTCGCGCTGCTGTTCTTCGACAGCTCTTCCTCCACTTGTTTTATTGGCGGGTGCCATTTTAGGGGAATGTAGCAAACACATCAAATATGTCGAACAGAGCTTTTTATTTTTATAAAGGTTAATTATATATATAAGATTTACAGGAAAATATCTCAGTGGGAGGACATCATGAGAGAATGATAAAATACATGAAAGTAACGGAAAAAACGGGAGGGTTGACAGGTATGCCTTCATAGGATGTTTTCACTTACCTTGTTATGAGGGTTGATCTGGTCTTTGGGAGTGCATTCTATGTTCTCCACTCCAGTGGAGCTGATCTTCATCAGGTAGAGCAGCCCCTTCCCCTTGTCAGTCTCCTTCGGCCATTCAATCTCGAGGGTGGCGGTGCCAAAGTTTGTCAAGCGCTTTCCGAGATTGATAATCTGTAAATCAAAAGAGGGACAGTGTTCCACCTCAGATGATAGAGTATGACTTGTCTAACTAAAGCACACATACATACAGAATGTTGCATTAATAAAAATTCTAATAAAATAGATACAAAACAGACGGATACATCTTAAGAGTGCTGAAGAGTACTAGCCACTCTGGAGGTTTCCTGTACTCACTCTGAACTGGTGCGTGATGGCAGTGCCAATTTCACTTTCCTCTATGGCCTCCTCATCTTTGGTCTCTCCAGCAAAGTAGACCTGAGATGGCTGGGCTTGTCTGGAACGATGAAGAAGCAACAGTTAGTAGCCTGAATGTGTGTAAACGTGTGTTTTGGGTGCATGAACTGCATGTGTGTGTTTCTCACCCTGAAACAGAGAGCTGCAACTGGATGGCCACTTTTGCCTTTGCTTTGACTGGGGTTTCTTGCTGGTTGCTTGTCCTGTCAGATCAGAGGGTTACACACAGGTCAAGCCAGATACTTCCAATGGACTACAAGTGGTAATACATAATCAAGGTAAGTGCATTACCCAGGAGCGTATCTGTGGTATTATTTATTGTATGACTGAAGCAGAAATAATCAAGACCACCATCAAACTATCCACCATTTAAAAACTGTTTAAAAAGTGTAAATCAATGTTATAAGACAGTTAGATATACTTACGTTTTTAGTTGAAGATCAATCTCCAGTTCAGTAGTGTTGAGAGAGATGCGTGATGTACTCAGAATAATGTAGAACGTTGTCTACATGCACAGACACAGAGACATTATATTAGTATTAACAGTGCCACTTGTGCAGAGGAGGTAGACAGTGCCAAAAGGTTGATTTTCTTTCACCTCTGAGTCACGCTTGAAGGGGTTTCCAAGCTCACAGTTGGCCTGAGAACCGTCTTTATTGGCTGTACAGGTTACCTGCCGCTCCTGAAGTCAATAACAAGTTCCAATCAGGACCACAAATTGGTATGTGTGTGCATGAAAGAGAGAGAAAGTGGCAGTGAAAGCGAGACTCACATTAGGTGGAATGCGGTAAGTGGAGTAGGTAAGGGAGGGGGGGAGGGAGACGACCACAGCGGCTTCGTACGCGTCATCTCCATTTAGATTGTCTACTTTCACCTCCAAGGTGATGTCCTTCTGGTCGCTGAGCGAGATCACCGGCACCTTTTCCTTTCTTCAGACAGACAGAAGTTATGCTGATGAAGGTGCATGTCAGAATATAGTAACCCTATCTTAAGGATAGCCTAAGATGTATAATAAGAACTGAAACATTTTACTGATAGTGTGTGTGTGTTTTTCTCTTACATTTCTAATGCAGTGAACTTGTCGTCAGTTGACCTGTGGCCGTAGCGATATTTCACTTGTAAGTTGCTCTGACAAACATTGTCACTGCCACAACCCTCCTTCAGGAAATTCACCTACAGCCACAATCACACGCACATAAAAAGATTAGTGGGAACATCAAAGCTACTGCACGTCTACTAAATTTATTTCTCAATGTGTTCAGTAAGTGTCAAGTACCATGCACACACACCATTGATCGAGTTGTCATTGGCTCTGCAGCATCCAGGACGGGCAGCAGCTGGGAAGGTGAGCTCTGTCTGCGTTTCCGTTTAGCGTCCTGGATGTCCACACACAATTCGATGGGGATCCCACGCAGCTTGTCCTGAATGTTGTCCTGTACAATGAGGACGGCATCACACAACGTTACACACAACCACCCACAATGCACTTTGATCTCAAGAGAGAAGAATGACATTTCCAAAGAGTCCCTACCTGTATAGTGAGCTGGCGTTTAACACACTGTTTCGTTCCTTTGCCGTCTATAGTGATGACCCCTTTGGACTCATAGCTAGGATCAGTGGTTTCTAGGAAGGTCGCCCTGGAGTTAAGACCGTTCTTCCTTTGGTCAGCGTCGGCCTGGAGGGAGTATGCCACCGCTGGATGGGACAGGGACGTAAGATTTATTTGTGCAAGGCTGTAACCTCCCCATTACTGGGGATCATTATAAGTACTACAGTTTCTTGCTGTTGAATCTCTGTATTTTCTGATAATAAGAAACGAAAACATGATAACGGTGACATTTTTAATAAAGAAAAACATAGCTCAGCTTACTCAGTCTGGGAGAGTAGCTCTTGGGGTTGGCAGTGTAGCTGAAGCATGCCTCAACTTCCAAGCTGGGGACACATTGCAGTTTATCCACAGTCAGACGCGGTACTGGCATTGTGTTTCACAGTTTTTACACAGAGTTCATGAATATCCAGCAATTAATAGTTGCACCTACTGAATGGATGGATGGAAACTACAGGATCTTTCATTATCTTTTCCCATAAATATAATGGTCCATATTTGACAACAGGGGAAAACAAAAGAAAACACGTACCAGAAGCTGTTGCCACAGTTCTTCTTGGTTAGGTCGATTTCTGAAGGTGAGAATGTGATCTCCTTGTTGATTTTAATAACTGGACGAGCTCTGGGAGGACAGCCCTCAGTTAGCAACTCTATAACCATGACAATCAGACATGTACAGTGAGAAAAACGTACCAGTTTACTCACTTAAAGACAAACACAGAGTCAGACAGGGATCCGACTGCGAGGTCAGGGTAGAAGTTCTTATCCAGGTCCATGTTGCCAGCCAAAGAGTAGCCAAACAGCCTGACTCCTAAAGGCTTGCCGGACAGAACCTAAAGCAAGGGAAACACACGTTTTGATTCCAGCCACAAGAAATATCTACTTAATAATCTATATGTTGAAAAATACACCCACATTTGACCTAAATTAGTTTTGTAGGAAGATTTTAGGGTCCAAGCATGACGATCAAACTGACAGCCTTCCTACCGCACAAAACAAAACACTGCAGCTGAGACACAGCTGAAAAAGGTATGTTATTCCACCAGTGTACTCCATACCTGTGCAGCTTTATTATATCTGAGCTCCTTGTCTGATCCGTGGTAGATATACACATTCCCTGCACTATCATCCTCATAAGGAGCTCCCACTGCAAAATCTGACGACAAGAAAGACAACAGTGACTTACAGTGTGGTTATACAGGTACATTTCATTCAACGAGAGGCAGATAGAAATATCAGCTGACATTAGTATACATATGCACACGCATCACAGCCTCACCGTGGTAGCCATCCTGGTTGATGTCTCCCAGGTTTTCCACAGCCAGGCCAAACATTGAGTTCTCAGATCCATCTATTCTGGTAGGTGTTACTTGGTTCCAATTTCCAGCTTTGTTGACGTAGACGTAGACAGCTCCTCCAATTTCTTTGTCCTTCTCAAAGTACTGAGGTGCTCCCACCACTATGTCCTGCCAACTAACCAACCAGAGCATTCCTTGTTCGTGAGCATACAGTAATAGTGACAGCACTCTTGAAGCAGAAGTTAGAGGCTGTGCGTTATCACCCTGAGTCACTCACCCGTCCCCATTGAGATCCAGCACGGTCAGATCGTAGCCAAAAGATGAGGCCAGCCCTTCACCTTCCAGGGTGTACTCATCTACCAAGATGTTTCTTGAGTTCTCGCCTTTCTTCAGCAGCACCACTGCTCCACTGTGGTTCGCTCTGGGAGCTCCCGCCACCACCGTCAGCTGGCCCTTCTTGGTCAGACTCTTCCCCGAGTCCAGAGAGAAGCCTGGAATACAAGACCAAGGAATGCTTGCTTTTATAGTCAGAGTTAGTCAGGTACTTCAATACTCTTCTTTGTGACAGTGGAGCAAATGAAGTGATGGCATATGATTAGCAATGAATGGATGAAGGGGGTAGAGCGAGCTGTGTTTTACCCAGGTAGCTGTTGGCAGGAGCAGGGACGAGCTCAGGGTTCTTATCGTTCTCATCTCCCACCTCAAAAGGACCGTCGTCATAGACGCCTAATTCTAACAAGGTGTCATTCCTTTGTTCCATGCGAACTACGCCTGGAGGAGAGAGGAGACGGGAAGAGCAGACAGACGAGTTAAGACTGGAGAGATCTGGCTGGCAATAAAAAGATTCAAAACCCATAACACAATAATCCCAATTGGCAGTAATGTCGAAAAAAGCATAAATGGCAAATTCCTTTGTGATGAAAAGTTCATAAATCATTTAGAGTAGATAATGAAGCACATGTGCAGTTAAGTTCTGTGACAGTTAATCTTTTGCATTTCTTACCTGAAACATCGATGCTCATACTGTTTAACACACACACACACATACACACACACACACACACATTAAGACTACCTTTCCAGTTGTACGCTCCAGGAGCCCCAAAGATGACATAATGGTATTCCTTGTCGAATGTGGCAGAGAGGCCCTGCTGACATGAGCCAAACATCTCGTGACCTCTGGACCGGCTTTCACAGAAATGCCAGTTATCACTTAATCCAGGATCGATAGATAAATCTGGATTGAGGACGTAGCAGCGGCCGATAATGTCACGGGATTCGATGGCTGTGTTCACACTGGTCCGGCGCTGGTAGCGATGGGCACAGGTCTAACAGAACCACAGTTGAGTTGATATAATGTTGATTAAAATCTAAAGCTTGTGTTGTAATGACCGTTTAGAGTTTAGATGGCATAGTGATTAACCAACTGAGCTCCAATACTGAGCCATTTATTAAACTTCTCAAATACAAGGATTTGCTGCATTTCCTTGTTTTATTTAAGTGTAAATTTAATTTCTCTGATTTAGGGACTATTGGTTGGACAAAACAAGCTATTTGAAGATGTCACCTTGGGCGCTGGGAAATTCCAATGTCGATTTTCTGACAATTTAGAGAATAAACAATAGTGTTAAAAGTGATTAACCGAAGGAAAATTTCTGATCAAACAACATTGAAATAATCAGTTGTTGTAGCTTATGACTTCTTTAACTGACTTGTTAAAATCCCCCAAATTTTTTTTATTGTTGTACTATTAATAGTAAACACGGAATATTGGCATGAATTAAAAATATTTAATTCATTTTTGTGTGTTTAAAGGTTTCTGTTTGGATAACTAAGAAGTGCTAAAACGGATTATTACTGTCTCTATCAATTGATCGATTGGTTGATTCACAGTTAAGTCAATATAATATCATAAAATAGAAAATAATGAATTTCCCAGGGTCCAATGTGACCTTCAGATTTCTTGTTTTATCCAACAGTCCAAACCCGAAGATATTCAGTTTACAATGATATAAAAGCAGATTCTCACATTAAAAAAGCTGCATGTGAAACCACAACATTTTTGGCATTTTTGATTAAAAAGTACTGAAATTATTAATTAACAATAAAAATAGTTTCTTACTTTTCTCAAATAACTGTTTCAGTCAATTTCAAGGTCATGTTCAGATACATAGACACACAGTCTTACCACAACCATGCCTCCTGGCCCCTGACTGTTGACTGACACTCCCATCCACTGGTTCTCCTTGCTTTCTCTGGAAGTGTCCTCTACACAGAGACAGGGACAGAAATAGACACAAAAGGGATATTGTGACTCAAATATTTGGGGGGGGGGGTATCTAAAATAACCAAAAACATATTAGAGAAAAGCACAGGTGTCAGCAGAAATCTTACCATTATTATCAAAGTTAACTCTGGTGCAACCAGCTGAGGTGGAGCTCATGTCACAGCTGTACAGTCCTCCTGTCACTTTAGCTTTTTGACGACTCAAGGCTTTTGCTTTCGGGGCACCGACCAGCAGCCTGCAACAGAAACACAAATGAGTCTGTTAAGATGTACGCAGCTCGATCAAATCCACATTGTGAAAGAGGCTCAAGCTGTAACACTCATCTGTCATGTAGGACGCACATTATATTATCACACATTCCACTCTACTGTCACACAGCAGCCATATTCACACATACGAACACGCACACATCCGCCACCAAACTGATGTTCCATGTCCTCACGGTACAACTCAGTCAAAGACCCCTTTCAAACGCCTGCTGTGGTTGATTGAACCAGGCTTTCTATCTCTCTCCACACACACACAGATACACATACACACACACACACACACACACACACACACACAGGCTGCCTTTGTGGACCAAGGACAAGGGCACATGCCACACCCAAGTCTTGACGATGGGCATCCCGTTCCCAGGGTTTCCTACAGAGTAAATCAAACGCCAACAATGTCATAATTTGAACTGATGCTTTGTGGAAGTTTACAGTGCAGAGTACAGCACACACCAATCTCTCTCTCTCTTTCTGAATGTTTGTCCCAGGTGCTCTCCCTGGCTCACTTTATCTGTCCGATGACATCTAGAGTTAATGTTGTACAGCACACTGTCTTCACCAGATGAGATTAAGTAAAGCAAATTTAAGCTAGAACACAAAGCATTCTCAGATACACACACCATCAGGGAAGGAATTTACAGAGACATATAGTCAGAGTGAAGAGCTGAAGCCTAACGTGATCATCATGTTTGCAGTGTAGACCTCATTAGTCATCACTGTAAGCACTTACTGCATGTGGGAGAAGATGTCAAAGTATAAAGCTAACTTTTTCAGACAACGTAAATCATCATGCATATTGACTTCAACGGGCGTGATGGGGATTAGCAAAGGACAATAAATCTATTTATAAGGCATACAAAGTACAGCTTGTTATAATGCTGCCGCTTAAATGGGTTTTATGGAAAATACTGAGAAAATATGAAGACATTTCTCTAAAATGAAATTCATCAAGACAAGTCATCACAATAGAAAACACACTCCTTCTGCAATGACACTGTTCATCCCATTTTAAACACTGGATTGGTTTGGCCTCATTTCAAAACTCAGAGAACAATAATTTTGTGCTGTTCTCCCACCCATTAAGTGTCCAATCCAGCCAAGGGGAGTGAGCGACACTTGACACCACAGTCAGAAGTCAATTCTCCACCTCTTTGTGCACTGCCGTAACGCACAGAAAACATATTTTCACACCGAGTGAAATTGATAGGGCATGTGTTTGTCTATCAAAGATAAGTCTGATTCAAATGAGTCATCACTGAAAAGAGAGGTGTTGTGACTAGCAGTGAAACCCAGGTGGGCACATCTACACTCCCATTATCTCCCATGACACACGAAGTCAGGAGAATGGACGGAAAGAGCTCTGCCAAGACACATTGGACTCTGGTAAAAGGGGTCACTGGGTCTGGGGTTTGTGCTGCGTTAATGAAGAATGGACACTGTAGTTCCTACTTCTACATAATCACACTGATACTTATTTGGGGTCTCGTTCAGATGTTTCCTTTGGGGTAAATGAAAGCAGCAATAGTGCACAAACAGCAACAATGATGTTAAAATAAAACAACACATTATATCAAGATTACGTTACAGATTAATTGAACAATTGCGTGACAATTAAATCATTTACAGAGCAGAGACTTATGACCCAAATGATCAAGAATCTAAATTGGCTACTATTCACAGAAGACACATATTATCTTTATTGCTGTACATTATTATTTTCTTTTGCCATTGAAGAGTGAAGCGCTGACATGACGTGTCAGGGACGGGCACTGCGATAACGCCGACCCGCTGCCTCACTGACAGTGACCCAGCTGTTTATCTAATCATTCGCCACCAGCAGAGGAAGCCGCAACACACAGGCTTAGTCTACAGGAAGGACAAAGACAAACAAAGAAAGAGAGAGTGTATGTGTGTGTGTGTGTGTGTGTGCAATGACTCGCAAAACAGACACACACATAGTGGCACTCAGACACACAGGCAGACTCTCCCTGCGCAGGATCAGCGCAGAGTGACCATTACAGAGACATCCCATTGAGAGTGTTGTATTGTTTTGTTTTTTTACAGCAGCAAACTGGCTGCCCAGCTAGTGCATAGCCCGTTGCATAGCGACAGCCAGTGGCACCCTATCAAGAGGCGTTCACCTCAAAATGGGTTGCAGATCCAGAGGTTCATGTCATGTGTTACCCAACTTCTCTCTCCCTCCGTCTGCCAGGACCAAGCCCTCTCCTCGAGTCTGACTGGTTGAATAATGGTTCATATTTGGTGCCCAGATGTACAACTGATTTATGTTCCTCTCCGCATTCTTTCAGTCATCACTTCTTTCTTTTCTTCAGTTCCTGTCTCTCTCTCTCTGTTTGATGTTGGATAACCTCAACTAACCTGAGGGGAAGAGAGGAGGGGAAAGGACTAAGTATGAGTCTCATACACAGACCATATACACTCGCACATAAAGTTAAATACTAAACTCTGCAGTCTCCTCTAACATTTAACATGCAATGCAGGTATGTTTTGATTTCCTCTTTCTTACAGCGTGTCTCTATATCCTTTGCTCTTTGTGCTACATCTATCCATTTCTCCCAAACCAGTGTGTATCTCTTTCTCCCACACAGTCCCTACACTCAATCCAAGCTCTTAAACTTCCCTTAACTCTCGCTCGGTTTCCTCCTCCCTCCTCTCCCCACTCATGCATTTTGCACTTTCCCTCCTGACTTTATTACACAGCTCCATCTGGCAATTATGACCAACCATGGAATGGTACATACACACACAAACACACACAGACACGTACACACATGCATATACATGATCCCAACCTGCCCTTTCCTGCAGGTACACTCATTCCAGTAGGGCATGAAAAAGACTGGAAGACATAAGATCGCATAAAAGTTAGCATGACTGGCAACGGATTGGGACTCGCTGTGCACACCCATGGGGGTACACAAGCACACACACGCCAAGGCACACATGTTGATGCAATGTACGATAATGAACTCTCAGAGGGAAAGAAAATCACTATCAGCACAAAACATCTATCTATCTATCTATCTACCTATTTTTTTGCCTCAGGTTAGGAAAGTATCTAGCAGAACACTGAGCTCACTGACACTTTTCCAAGTGACTGACAACAAGGCAACGCCTCAGTGCTCAGCCACAGCATGCATCAGCACCATTAAAACACACCAAACAGACACACATTAACACGCAGTATGTGGATGCATGAGCATACACAAAAATACACAGTCCACAGTGAGAGCACATTCCACCTCTACAACAGCAGTGTGAGCACCATCACTTGCAAAACAAACATGGCTTCCTGCTCAAACATGCACACACACACATTCAAACTTGCACTGTAATGTAACACGCGCACATGCTGCTGATGGTTTAAGTGTATCTGTTTCTATACTGATTAAAAACAGAAATATAAAAGTCTTGTTCAACAAACTGTTAACAAGGGCAAATAGCTCTGCATCATGAGAATTAAACCCACTAAAATTCTGCCTGAAATGACACCTCTCCATTCATCAATTAATAGTTTAGACAATCAAATGTCAGACAGTAGTGAGAAATGGCCATCACAATTTCCCAGAGACACAACTGATATTGGTTTTCAGTTTACTAACACTGACGATGAGGAAAACCAGCATATCTTCATAATTATAAATCTGCAACAAGCACCGTGTGTACTTCATTTAGACACAGCGTAAAACTAGGACACAAACTGCCACTGTGTATGTGAATGCACAGAAGTAGTAGAAGTGTGTAAATAACTGTAAGAACCGTGTTTAACCTCTGGGGAGAAGGTTAAAGACTTGGACATGCTGGACAGTTCAGGGTATCTTGCAGTGGGTAAACACACTGTGGTAACCCTTCTTTACAAATACAAACCAATACTTAAAGTACAGTCTGATGCCCACTGCAGGCACTGTAAGGTACTTTAAATGACATAATATACAAAATGGCATCTTTTCATGTATTAGGGACAGTGATGGAATATTACTCACTTAAATGGAAATTTCCATTTAATATTACTTTACTTAATAGGTTACTCCTAGTCCACTACAGTTCAAACAGAAATACTGTACTTTTTATTCCACTATACATTTATTTAATAGTTATTTATTAGTTAGTTATTAGCTACTTTACTTAATTTATTCAAGACATACATACATACATATGATGTTGCATTGTTTTAGATTAAACTGCCCAACAATATATAAAGCACTTCAAATTAGCCTTACCTCAACCAATTACAAGATTAAAATGTAATACTTCTTTACTGTACTGTACTTTTCAATGCTGGACTTTTACTTATACCAAGTTTTTACAGTGTGGTGTTGCTAATTTTAAAGGATCTGAGTCCTTCGTCCACCACTTATTATGTACCAACAAAACTTTAGGGAAGTGCCGTAATCACAAATAGGCAAATGTGTATATTTCTGGCTGGTCCATTGCAGTCAAACTGATTCCCATATTAAATAATTTGACTGCTCTGATCTCAGGTCAGTTAATCCAGACTATTCAAACCGGTGACCACTTGATGGCAGTTAGCCTTTATGCAGAATGACAAATCCCTCTGAATCAATGCCCATAAAAATGCCAACAATGATTGAATGGGATGTTTTGGGCCGACATGCCAAGGCTCGGTCTCAGCTAACACAACATTGGGTGGAAAAGAAGAAAAAAGAAAGAAAAATCATGTGGGCGCGCGCCGATGCGTGCACGTGAACAAACATCTGCTGTGGAGGAAAAATAAAAACTCACGAATAAGTAACCACGTTCAATGCATGGAAGGAAAGACTCGAAAAAGATTAACAAGGGGTAGGCCTATGGCTACAACAGGTGCACATGGTACAGTACATTATTTTAAGAAGAAGGATTGGTTTGCTGAGATTTTGTGAAAAACAGTTAGCCTACTGGGTTGAAGCTACCTGCGACATGGCCTACCTGAGCTCAAATGATTGCGTAGCATTCTAGTGACATTTCTGTAACTTAAATTGTGTTTCTGGTTCTTAAGAGTAGGTTTAAAAGGGCTTTTTCATCTCCTGTCGCAGCTCAAAACCGCCCAAAATAAACTTAAAGTCGCCTACACTGCTGTGACATTTTAATTACATGGTTACAGAGGTTGTTTTAATGACATGCAACTGTTATAGCGTGTTTCCGAGGCCAGGGCGACGCGTGAGCATATAGGAAATGCCTCCAAAACTTGCTGCCATTTAAAACAAAAATGTGGCTCTTACAGTCTCTTATCCGCCGGAACCAGCTGCCGGTGCATGGCGAGAGAGAAGCCGAACAGGCTGCCTGGATCTCCGCTCCTTCGCAGGACATTGTCGGTGTCCAGGTTGAAAGCCGAGAGTCGTCCGCATCCCAGGAGAAAGACGACCGTCCACAATCCACAGGTGATCCTGCCCTCCATGAGATACAATCAAATACAAAAAAAACAACAACCTTGAACTGGTGAAAGGTGAGTCCTTACTGAAGTAGGTGCAGGGTGCGACTGACTGACTGACTGCTGGAGGGCTGAATATGGTCCACTTTACTTTCAGCTGCCCCTCCCACTGGCCTCTCCTGGCACATGGACACAAACATGCACAAACTCCATCCTACCACACCTTAAATTGCTTGAAAATCTGACTTTATTGTGATGTGTATTTTAGCTAGAAAATATCATTGTTTTGTTAGTCTTTTGTTAGATTGCACCAGATCAATGCTGGAATCTAACTAGGTCTGCCCGAGGCTTTGTCAAAAACACATTTGCAGTGATAAATAGTGCTTCAGGCTAGATAGGCAGCTTCCGACAACAGATCTCCAAGGATACCACTTTAACAAATACTTATTACTTACTTATACTCCCTTGAAAACGGGCGTAAAACAACATATTCCCACAAAAGGGAACATATTGGCAAAATGCTCAGTGACACTAGAGTGCAATCTGCACACATGTTTGATACTCTCACAGTAAATTGTGTGTACTATCATCCTTGCAGTTAGCAAGGAGAAGCACAGACAAGAGGGAGAATCGTGCTGGCACAGTAGTTAGTACAGTAATTTTGCCAGAAAGTGGGTTGGGTGATCAGTTCAACCATCAATAGCTATACAATGACCTGGAATGGGAGAGACGGATGGGAATAGAGAGAAACAAAGTCTGAGACTGTGAAAAAGACATGATTTTGGACAAAAGGATTAAAAGAAATAGAGATATGCAGCAACCCATGTGTTTACCATACATAGCTGGCCTCTATAAACCGCAGCACAATAGAAACCCAAAGCTAGAAATTTGTCCGAATTTAGAATTACAATCCTTTCTGCGCTCTCTGCCAGATCATTACATGCTATCACCACAGGGCCTGTGTCTTCTGTAATGACTCATTACATGAGTCACCGAGGCCAGACTGGGCACAGACCCGCACATTAACACAATCCCTCACAGATGGTTTTCAAGGCATTCCATGAGACGCTGACCCAAAGCCTGTCCCCGCAACGCAGCATTTCAGCAGACAACGCCGGCTTTGTCTGCACGTTGAGAAGGAGGGCAGACAGAAAGGGAGAGGGTGAAAGAAATTGCCCACATACAGTATAAAAGGCACAAATGATGGTGGAAGAGAGGAGCACAGAAAGGGAAAAGGGCAGGGGAAGAATGTGGTTCTTATACAGGTCTGTTATCTAATTAAGTCGTGATCTCCAGTGAGGATCAGCTCTGTGACTCAATATTACTTGGAGCTGGACAAAAGCAGTTCACTTTTGATCTTTGAGATTTGATTTTTTTATTAACAGATTGGGAAAATAAGTGTATTTGATATGTATTTGAACACCAGAACAGGCTCATTGAATCAGAGCCTCAATAGTCTCTTTCTGTCCCGGTCAGTCACATGTCTTGACAGTATTACGCTATCTTATAAAAAATCTCCTTCTTAAAAGTAGTGGAATTCCTCACTCTTGTGACCGTTTGCCTGTTGGCTCTATTTTTGTATCCATGTTGGTGTTTGTCTTGTCCAGTTTAGGCTGGTGTTTTTTCCTCTTCCAGGTACAGAGCAAAGCAGCAGCCAGCTGGACGATCACTTGTGATTTATGGTTCTTCTTGAAGAAGGACAGGAAACAGGCCTTAAGCTGATAACAGCAGTGTGTTTAAGTGGGGTGAGTAAGGTTGGCTCACCCTTGGCTTGTGGATTTCTTTCAGAGTCCATGCCCAAAGTGAGTGTGTGTGTGTATGCTGACATATTGACACAGTGAGAACAGAAGGACCCCCACTCAATTAACAGACATACTGTTTATCTGTTTATTTGAAAAGGGACAATGAATACTCATCAACATTCAAAGTAAATGTAAATGTACCCGAGTTAGCCACAGGCTAGTTTTCATCGGCAGTCCCCTTGTCAGATGTTACTGGGCATCCTAAAAGTAGTAAACCACTGTAATACAGTAAATTATACAATATTATACAATAGACAAAAGTTAAAAATTATACTGTGTTGACAGTGTTGGTTTTCAATAAGCTATTTCTTACAATTACTTTTAAATGAGTAACAGGATGGCAACTCTCTGGTGGTATTGAGATCCATTGATGTGATACTGTGAATGAAAAGACGGCCTGGCTAAATGTAGTTTTTTTGAGTGGGATTGTGCAGTCCCTCCTAGCTGCACCACAGGTAACTCTGTTTGCGGTTGATTTGAAATTGATAAGGCCAGACAAAGGAGGAGGAGGTAAGGTATGACACTTCCCCTGTTTTGACATCAGATCTCAGCTCTCGTTCTCTCACTGGTGTCAACCTTTTTCAGCCTCACCTGCTCTCATTCATCCCTCCATAGCTACTGCTGGGTTGTTATTGAAAAAATATTCTTGATTGTGCTCGTGTTCTTTTTTTCAATCGTGTCTAAACCTCAACATCACACATACCACAGCCTGTCAACATCATTATCCCCCCTTCACTTCTTCTCTTCTACTATCCTCCAGGGAAATAAAGGTCACACGTTTTGTCTACACAACAACAGACTGGAAGGCCACTGCGGCTACAGCTGAGTGTCAATCTATTGACATTCAGTCATGATTTTAGGGTAACACTTATTGATAAAGGCACACAAAATCCTGTATAGTTACCAAGGACCAGATCAGGAACTAACTGCAAATAAATGAAAAGTAGTTCCCAACTGTGAATAAACAAAGAGTAAAAAGTTAGTAAAAATAAAAATGATTAGTTAGATACATATCTCTGAATCGGCTTCCTGATCATATTATTAATGAATCATTGCTGATTAACTCGGACTCAGGAGCAGAATGGCACATAACCATCATTGTGCAACCTTATACTTAGCAAATGTAAGTCGCACACACTGCATATTATTTTAATTATCTGTACCCAGAATTAACAAGTGAGTCATGTGTATGTGCTCCGTGTACAGCATGTTCAGTATAACGTCAGCAGAGGAGCAAATACCTTGCCTTGGGTGCTAAAGTAGAGGAAGGACAGTGAAGGCAATGTTCTGTGACACACACAAATTCAGCGCCTAGACTCGCCCAAGCCACAGCCCTGTATTTGTTCTTAAAGCTGCAGCTCCAGGTACACTAAGGGAAAACACATGTACACTCACCTGAGGGTGTGGCACAATGAGCTGAGTGGTAGGGTGTGTGTGTTTTTATGACACTGTAGAAACCCATAGCCTTGGGATACTGATAAACGCACACGCGCGTGCACACACACACACATGTACAATCAGTTTCACAATCATGTTGAACTCCAAAACCTAGATCTTTCATAACTGCAACACATGAATGCACTTTCTCTGAACACTATTGCTTATGTGAGTTTGTAAATGTGTTGACAGCAGATCATCTTAATTTATGACTGATTCTGATTCAGATCAGATAAATTGATTAAGACCTTTTCAGCAAAAATAAAATGAAACCTTTCACTAAGAACACAGGACAGACAGAAGATTAATGAGAGACAACCCAGTTCTTCTCAAGTAACAGCAGGCCGGTTGGATTTGGGTGTACATTGTGTGCAGTTTGACATTTTGGGAAATTCACACATTTGCTTTCTTGCCAAAAGTTATATGAATAAATTGGTACAACTGTCTGTATGGTATTGGCATGGTTATCTAGCTTAGCATAAATAGAAATTTTGAATGGATTGAACAAATGAGATACATCTTAATTATTGAGCTTTAAAAGTGCTTCTAGGTAATTTATTTACCATTAGACAGAGCCAGGCTAGCTGTTTTTTCTTGTCTAATTGGCTGATGGCTGCAGCTTAATACCTAATGTACAGATATGAAAGCAGCATCAAGCTCTCAGCATGATACCAAATTAGGATTCCCAAAATGTCAGACTGTTACTTTAAGATAATGAAATTATATGTTATTACATCCCTGAAATTTTTCAAATTTCTGTAGCCAAAGTGATCATAACAAAACAACACAATGGAATCTATATGACCCAATCATGTTGGAATAGTACTAATCTAACAAAGAGACGTCTACGTGAAAGTCTACTGTAATACCCTTAAAAATAACTGCTTTTTTTAGAAGAGTTGTTCTTCATTAGATCAACATTGAAAACATATAAGTGTGGTAAAGATGCTATAGGTTTAATGTACTGCAAAAGAGAGAGAAAGCAAAGCTATCAGTGACATTGTGGGGACAAACGTCTAATTTACATTCCCCTGTGTGATATCTCTTATTCAGAGTATTGATCCTGTTTCTTAGGAGAACTTATACTCATGGTTAAAACATAAAGAGACACACACACAGTACAGGCTGTAACAGATACTTTACCCTTGTTGATGAGTGTATTGATTACAGTCAGTAAGGAGTAATTGATGTCTCCTCCTGTCCAGCCGTGCTGTAACACCCTCGGGACAATTGCAACCCCTCCTTTTTACATTTTCCTCCTGAATGAGTGGTGAGCGTGTGTGTGTGTGTGTGTGTGTGTGTGTGTGTGTGTCAGATGATGTAATAAGAGATGGCAGTACTTGTGGGAGGGGTCCCAGTGTTGGTGGGTGCAGGTGTGCTACAGAAGTATACTTGCTAACCTGAGGGAGGTGAAGTGAGAAGAGTTCACTTTCATTCAGAGATTCAGGTTGGCGGCAGGCACTTGTCTCAGCTGAAAAAAGAAGTACAGAATTTCCCTTTGGGGATCAATAAAGTATTTTTGATTCCTGATTTCTGAAAAAACATAATTCTACTCACTTTCTTTCACTGATAATATGTCTACTTCCAGTGAGTCAGATGTATTGTTTTATTTTTAACTCACTCTAATACATTTTGAATTTTGCACCATGTTGACTAGACCAATAACAAAAGCTCAGGGCACAATATCTGCACTGGTTGGGAAAATAAGGCCAGGGCTGTAAATAAAACAAGGAGGTGCCAAAACAACCACACTCTCGCATGGTTCTAAGTTCAAGGAAGAGTACAATGTTCCTTTTCCACCATTTGCCTACTTCGTGGATTTTGTTTGTCAGCAAGCCCTAGCTTCTCCCTCATTCCAGGCAGTCATGACCCACCAGTGATGGAGAA